GTGGAGGGATGTGAATACTGATTGGTGGACAGAGATGAAGGGTTCAGCAAGTTGTGATTTGATTGGTGGAAAGAGGTGGAGGGTTCAGCAAGTTGTGATTTGACTGGCGGAAAGAGATGAAGGGTTCAGCAAGTTGTGATTTGACTGGCGGAAAGAGGTGGAGGGATGTGAATACTGATTGGTGGACAGAGATGAAGGGTTGAGTAAGTTGTGATTTGATTGGTTGACAGAAGATAAGAGAACCACAGGGTGTTTTTTTGACTGGAGGACACAAAATGCCCTGCCACCTAAGACTGTTCCAAATGACACTCTAAGGGATAAATTACACAAACATAAAAAAACGACAAGCGTGTCTTCGAAGCACCAAAAGCAAGACAAGTTTGTCTCCAGCTTCTTACCCCTCCGGCTTTTTTCTTGGCCTCAGCTTCCAGCTCTCTCTTCTCTCTCTCCCTGAAGTTCCACCTCTCCACGACGAACCCTCGCCTCTTCACCTCCCTCTCAATGTAGTTGGCAACGCCGTTTGTCTGATGAAGGGAGTGGATACAGCATTTAAAAACAAGGCATAATTACATAACAGAGTTACTTTCAACCAATGCCTCACTCATTTCAGAGCTCCGAGAAACTACAAAATTAAAAACTCTATACAATATCAAATGTGTGGCAGTCAGTGTTAACTTGAGCCCATTTACTTAAGAGTTTAGTTTAGAGAGAGTTTTACAGCACTTGCAACACAATTAGGTCATATAAGTGCCAAAGATTAGAGGTGTCACATAAGAGTAACAAACACAAAAAAGAAGGAGCAGAGATACGGACGACAGACGTTTGATGGGAAAGAATAAGCAAACCATACCAGAGCACCCGCCAACCACCCACATTGAACAATTTCTACTAACTGCGATGAAAGAACACAACAGCTTGAGCAGATACCTTAAGCTAAATGTTTCTCAATTAAAGCGCAGAACACAATGAATATGATTAATATACTTAATAAACTTAAGGAACAGCGAACATACAATTTACTCTTCCAACCCGAGGAAAAAAACTTGTGAATGGCATCAACAACAATAGCAAAATCAATAATATCAACAACAGCAACAACAGTAACATCAGCATCATCACCACCACCACCAACCACAAACACCAACAACAACAAGAGTTCACTGTTTTTTTAATTAAAAATTTTTTTTTTGTCTCGTGTCCCGATTTTGGTGCCGATACGTCGTGTAGGTTCATAAAAATGTTTTGGCCCGGTGCAAAGTGTTATGTTTCAAGAAATAAAAACAAAAAACAAGAAAAACACTACAAGAAAAAGAGGAATTGTTTAGTCGATGATGATGATGATGATGACGATGATGATGACGATGATGATGAGGATGACGACTAGAGTTCACTGTTGTGTTTACCTCAGTGGGCGTGGGCTGCCTCAAGCTCCAGGGAATCTCCAGGATGTGCAGCGTGCCTGCATTGTCTCCCACGGCAATCAGCTGCTGTTTCTCTGTAACGCATCCACAAAATGCTCACGTTTAGCCACAGTTCTATTGTGTCTTAATCCTTTGAGCCCTGAACGCCTAAGGCCACCGTGCCCCTCTTCCCGAGCTCCTTCATTCACACCTTCATTCATATCATGGACAGAATCACATTCCATATCCCACTTAGGGTAGTCCTCGTCATTACCAGCATCTGATTCAGAAACATCTCCAACATAATCAGGGTCATGTGTAGTAACCACTGTTTTTGGTACGCGTTTTGTCTCAGGTGGACTCGCTCACCGTTGTATCAGCGGCTAGGCATACAGGTAACTTTACGTACTACCGGTGTACTGATGGCTAGGCGTACAGGTAACTTTACGTACTACCAGTGTACTGATGGCTAGGCATACAGGTAACTTTACGTACTACCGGTGTACTGATGGCTAGGCATACAGGTAACTTTACATACCAACGGTGTACTGATGGCTAGGGCTCAAAAGGCAAAAGTCTAAAATTCAATGTGAATTGTACTTGTAATGTAGTAAGTATTAAAAAAAAAAACCCAACCATATGAAGACCACAACGAGAAAAATGAATAATATCACGAATTTGAAATCGCAGAATTATTGTCTTTAGTGATGTGCAAAAAGTAGACTATGTTTAAAAGCTTTCAAGAGAAATAACAGAATCAGTCCTGAGTCATAAACCCTTCTGAAAAAAGTACATTGACTGAAAAACTACTATTATAATGACTATTATAGTTATCATAATATTAATAATAATAATAATAATTTTTTTTTAAATGTAATAATAACAATTATTATAATAATAATAATAATAATAATAATAATAATAATAACTATTATTATCATTACAGTATTGTTATTACAAAAATAGTATATCTTTATCATCATTATTATTATCACTATTATTACGATCATAATGATAATTCTTCTTCGTCTTCTTCTCTTTATTACTATCATTATTACAGTACAAGTGTAATTCTTCTTCTTCTTCTTCTTCTTCTTCTTCTTCTTCTTTCTTCTTCTTCTTCTTCCTCTTCTTCTTCTTTTTCTTCTTTGTCTTTTTCTTCTTCTTCTTCTTCTTCTTTTTCTTCTTCTTTTTCTTCTTCTTCCGATGTATCCCGGCCCAACTCACGCGTCACTTGGAAGGGGTAGATCTGTGTGATGGAGGTGGGCGACACGCTCTGTGTCAGCGTGGGCTCGTGGGTGCGGTCCAGGAGGTCCCACACGTCGATGCAGCCGTCCACTTTGGCAATGAAGAACACGCCGGGCCGCGTCGGTGACCAGATACCACACGACATTCTGACAGGGCTTGCCGCGGAGTAGAGGATCGGGCCACTCTGTACACAGAAACAACCACAATTAAAAAATAAACGCTGTATGAAAATCTTTACGTCAATTATTTTCCATTTGCTCTGTCTACAAAAATACTTTATGAATAATCTTCTGATAAATGATCTTATCATTTCTTTTTTTTTGGTGGTAAGTGTTTTGCGGCGCTCGCAACTGCCTAAGGTCATATGAGTGCGCATAACCATTTCTCCACAAATGCATGTCATGAAAATCTTCGTGTACGAGAAATCATTTTACTTTTGCTCTGAACACAAAAATACATGATAAATCTTACCATTTCTTGTTCTCTCTACAGAGATTTTTCGTGAAAATCTTCACACAAATGATTAAACGATTTCATGCTTTTTCAACAAAAACACTTTTAAAATCTTCACAAAAACACAGAAATATCCATCTATCTTGAATAAAAGTCGAGATCTTCGTGATTGAAAGAAGTGGGCATCACCTGTTTTTAGAGGTAAAAGTAGTGAGAAAGGCCGCCAAAGTGGGGTAACTTCCATAGCTTAAGAGCACTTGAAAACAGAAAAGTTACATTTATCGAGCCTTTAATCAACGTTTTTCAATAACATCCACAAGGAAATGAGTTTTTAATTGGACCTATAAAATGATGAGCCGAAAAACAAAAATTCGATGAAAAATTGCTGGTTTCTTCCATTTTTTTTTTTTGACGCGCGCCTGATTTCACCACGAAGCCTCACATTTTAACTCTTTATCTCCGAGGGGGGGTACATACACCCACTACGCCGGCGTCCTTTTTTTGGTACTAAATCTAAAAATGACAAAAAAACGTCACTAAATGTGTCATTAAATCGAAACAAATGAACCTATTTGATAGTTCTCCATCTAGTGAATGAAATCCCAATAAAAGAGATGTGTTCTTGGCAATTGCTGAAAAGTAATTTGATGTTGACGTCATCGTAAGGGAATGTGCGGCACAGCGTTTCCGACCGTGAGCTGCTGTGAGCGGCTTGCCGGAGATAAAGAGTTAATCCTCTCCGTACGTTGTGTTTTACTATCGTATCCATACGACGTGCGGAACTCTGTACCCCCACTTTCCAAAGAGGAAATTTACTCGTTAATCCAATCCGTACGCTTTGCATAGCAGTCTGTCAAAATGATTTTTTGAGAAATACTGAAAGTTTCAAAGAGATCTTCGCACTAGAAGTATTCTAAAATGTGAAGAGTACAAACCCTGGGGTACAAAATGACCCCAGGGCGTACGGATAGGGTTAAAGAGTTTCTCAGTCACACTTTGACCTCTCTCATCAGGCAGAGTGAGACGACAGCGCCACTTACGCTGACTCCTTCCTTCCAGATGGCTAGCGTCCAGCCGCCCACGCTGAGGAGAATGTCCTTGAAGAACGGTGAGCGGTTCATGGAGACGATCGGGCCATCGTGCAGGGAGTGGTAGTAGGCGGGTTTGGGGGCTGGGGGGGTGGGGGAGAAAAACATTTTTGTAGACATATTTGGTACTGAGGGGGGGGGTGCAAATAATTATGACTAATACCTAACAAAGAGAGAGAGAGAGAGAGAGAGAGAGAGAGAGAGAGAGAGAGAGAGAGAGAGAGAGAGAGAGAGAGAGAGAGAGAGAGAGAGAGAGAGAGAGAGAGAGAGAGAGAACAAGACATACAAAGCTCAAAATGAAGGGAACTAACTTGACAAAAATTTTAATGATCAAATATGAAAGGCAGAGTTATTCCTCTTGTTTGCCATAAAAAAAATATGTCTGGAACCGACTATTTTTACTCTTGTATTCTAATAATTTGGCATAAATAATTGAGCCAAAATCATGGTTTCTGCTCACACAAAATTAGGAAAATACCCATAGCCAAGCACAGTGGCCATATGAAGAAGAAAATTTCCACATTCATAAAGTAAGTTTTAAAAATTACTGGTCAGCGTCAGTATTACTGTTTTTACCTGACACACTGTCAATACACAAGGCAGAGACTTAGTTTGGGTTTTAGTAAGAGTTTTACGGCATTTGCAAAACAATAAGGTCATATAAGTGCCGAAGATCAGAGGTGTCACAAGAGAGTTACAAACATTAAAAAGAAGGAGTCGAGAGATCAGGACGATAGATATTTGACAGGTAGGAAAGAAGGAGCAAACTACACCAGAGCACCCGCCAACCACTCACAGACTTACTCTAAACAGCACACTGACAAAGCACATGATAGAGACTTACTCTGGATCTTTCCGGAATCCTGGTCCTTCTGAGGCATCCAGTCGACGTACACGACCTCTCCATCCTGAGGGGAAACAACCCTCATCATTGTTCACGAAATAAAACTCAAAATAACCATCTTTTCCATAGATTTCTTCATTGTTAATGAAATAAAACTCAAAATACCATCTTTTCCATAGATTTCTCCATTGTTAATACAATAAAATTCAAAATACAATCTTTTCCATAGATTTCTTCATTGTTAATACAATAAAATTCAAAATACAATCTTTTCCATAGATTTCTTCATTGTCAATGAAATAAAACTCAAAATACCATCTTTCCATAGATTTCTCCATTGTTAATGGAATAAAACTCAAAATAACCATCTTTTCCATAGATTTCTCCATTGTTAATTAAATAAAACTCAAAATTCCATCTTTTCCATAGATTTCTCCATTGTCAATGAAATAAAACTCAAAATACCATCTTTTCCATAGATTTCTTCATTGTTAATAAACTAAAACTCAAAATACCATCTTTTCTATTCTAAGCTGTGTGATCAGTTCATGACTTTTCTGTCCTTTGGGTAAAAAAAGACCATAGTTTAGTCTAATCCTTGCTTCGGTGACCCCAAGCTACACGCAGTATTCCCCACCCACGCGACCCGATGTGAATTGCTGACATTGCATTAATACAAAATGAATAGTTCTTTTTCCGACAACCCTCAGCTCCTATAGTTGTGAACTCCTGAGCTGCAGTCAGTAAGGATCGGGCTAAGAGAACACTTCGAAGGAGAGGTGCTACTAATTCCTAGTACGAACAGTTCTGCTGACATATGACTAAAAAATGTATATATGCGTATTTATGTCAAGTAATATTTTTTTTACAGGGGAGAAAAAAACCCCTTTTCATGGCGCGTATTTCTATATTGGTTTATGGCTGAACAAATTAAAATTAAGGGAGCTTTGGGCCTTTGAAAATATGCATTGTGATCTAATTACACATCGATGTAGATATGAAAAAAGTAATTTTAATCAATTACTCCATAACTATTTACTGTGTACCTCAGCATATCAGAAAAAAGTTACACCGGCCAGTGAATTTTGACATAAAATAATCAAATCCACCAAATTTTAGTGAAATTGAAGCACACACGAAGATTAAATTTTCGCATCTGTTGTAAAATTTCATTTTTGGCACCAGAAATACGTCTTTCTATCATACGATGGCAGAGTCGCCCATACCTCGGTGCCCACATAGATGTACGTCTTGACGCTGTTCAGAGTCCTCTCCTTGCCTGAGCTGGGCTTGTGGAAGCCGCCCTGCATGGTGGCCGTCGGGTCGTTCTCTTTGTAGTCCGTGCCACTGGCAACTGTAGGAGGTGGGGAAAACACATACAGATTTTGTTACTACGTCATAGACTTATTGATATGTGGCACGACGCGGTGGAATCAGGCTCTCGTCAATTTTTGGGCATACCGAGTTGATGGTATCATCTTATGGCCTATCCTTTTTCTTTGTTTTGGGTGAAAATATTATCCATTTATGTTGAATAAATCAAGTCGAGATATGTGTGATGGAAGGAGGTTAGTGTCATCTGGTTTCACAGATAAAATTAGTGAGGAAATGGCCGCCAAAGGTTGAGTTATTTCTTTAGCTTGAGAGTCCGTGGAAACGGAAAATTTACATTTCTTCTGCCTTCAATCAACGTTTTTCAGCAAAATCCACACAGAAATGGGCATGAAAGGTGTTGAACCAAAAAACAAAAATCCGATAAAAATTCCAAAACCTGCGGGAAAATGCCAATTTCTTGACTTTCATTATTTTGACGAGCGCCTGATTTCACCACGCTGCCTCACATATAACACATATCACTACACAAAAAGTTTATTATCAAAACACAGAACTGAAGAGATGGCCAAGTGGTGAAGCAGGCTTCGGATTTTATCTATCTATTGGATGTTTGAGATTCACATCTCAAATTACTCAAAAGCTTTCAAATGGACAATGACGAAACTGTTGTCAGTTGAAATCTACAAGTCATTCAGGACCAGAATTATTCCTCAAAACTTTTTTGCATCCATTGGAGTGAATGAAAACCTGATTTGATTATCTTCCAATCTCTTTTTTGTTTCTTCAATTTATATTTTTGTTTTCTGGACACTTTTTTGACTCAATAAGGATCTATCCGGAGACACAACTCGGTAAGGCAGAAATATTCCACAAAAATGAAAGAGAGCGTGTCCAAATTCTTGTCAGTTCTAACATAAAGAACTCACGTGCTGACTTGTCGCCCTGTCGTTCCTGTATGGAGAACTTTGTGGGGGCGTGGTCACCACCTGGTTCTGATTTCGACAAATGTACCTGGGAACAACAAATGCATAGAAAAAGGCAGAATTTTATGATACAGTCAGTGCATGCGAGGACAATAACTGCTTCTGTGACTGCAGAAGAATTGTGTGTGTGGTAAGTTAAACTTACCAAGAGGCACACCTTACAATTCCTGTCCAAATGACGACCACTTCCTTAAAGCAACCATCTCGATCTCAGGAGAGGAAAAAGTGATCATCATGAACGGTTCTAGAAAATACATGATATTTCAATATACACTCATAGAACGTACTTTGTTTTTCCAATTTAAGTGTACTTCTGACGTACTGATGCACTTCCACCTTTATTTGCATTACGACGCACTGGAATCAGGCCTCGTCAATGTTTGGGCACGTGGAGTTATTGGTATCATCTGAAAGCTCATTCATTTGCCTTGTATTCGATGAAAAAAATATCCATCTAGCTTGAATAGTAGTCGAGATATTTGTGATTGAAGAAGGTGGGGTAGCCTGGTTTCAGAGGTTAAATTAATGAGAAAATGGCAGCCAAAGTTTGGCAACTTCAAAAGCTTAAGATTCTTTGAAAACAGAAAATTACATATTGTGTGCCTTTAAACAAGGTTCTTCAGAAAAATTCACATGCAAATGAGTTTTCGTGTGAACATAAAAGGTGTTTCACCAAAAATCAAAATGTTGACATAAGTCGCCAAACTGGTGGAAAAATGCCTTTTTCTTCAATTTCATTATTTTGACGAGCGTCTGATTTCACGACGCTGCCTCACATTTGTCTTCAAAGGACTTTTCAGAAATCTAATGCAGGTAGTTGTCCTTAACAATACTGCGCTAGTGTCTGTCTCCGATGGGCTCCACCAAAATGTTAGTCACAGATACTCCTTGTTACCGCTGCAAGAGAAGGAAAAACTCAGCTCAACCCTGCTTTAAAAGTGCTTTAAAAAATTGGAGTACTTTAACTTTTGTGCAATAAGCGACGTTAAGTTGGACACGAAGGTTTCAAATTCTTTTCCTTCACAAAGATTCTAAAGATAGGACGAAAAATACTCCGCGTCAAACAGCGTCCTTACCCTGAGGTGAGGCTTCCAGGACAGGTCCAGGTATTTGAACGTGTCGGGCACTCCCATTGGCTGCTTTGGGCCCTTGTCGTCGTGTAACTGGTGGATCTTGGGAGGTTTCGTGTCCCAAAATAGCACGCAACTGGAAAAAAAAAGACCCCAAAAGTTGGAACAATTATTATCTTTTTTCCAGGATTTTATTCCAGTTTATTTCACATAAAGAGAGATGTACCAATAAATTACATAATTGTCAGCAATTGTTTTTTGGCAATCTTACTCAACAATAAATGGTTTCAGCAAGTTTTCAATACTTTCAGTTTTTCTTTCAATTCCTTTCTAAAAATCACTAACAGATCACCAAGGCACCTAGAAGATTACTCAGCTCTGACCCCCACAGAAGATCAAGCCTCTATTATTCTCTGCAGGAGTCAATGGAACATTTTTTATACGACATAAAAAAGTCTGTTTTTTCCATAAATGTCACCACTCAAACGTTGAATTTGTAATTCAGACTTGGCTAACTGACAAGCTACGAGTTTGTGCATCTGTAAATATTACTTCCAATACTGTCAATGTGTCGTTAAATAGTTGTGTGAAGCATTTTCAAGCAGCAACATTGAAAAATTAAACTTTAAAAACATATCCTGTGGAGAGTGATGAGACAGAAAGGGACAATTTTCTCTCTTTGTGAGAAGAACAGAAACCACCAGAGCTCAGACAGAGGAAAGAATAAGACTGGTACGATAAATCCTCAGAAAACATTTGTGAGGCAGCGTGGTGGAATCAGGCTCTCGTCAAAATAGTCAAAGTGAAGAAACTTGCATTTTTCTTCACGTTTGTGAATTTTTCTCAAATTTTTGTTTTTTGGCCCCTTTCATGTCCATTAAAGAACTCATTTCTGTGTGGATTTTTCTGAAAAACGTTAATTAAAGGCACAAAAAATGTAAATCGTCAGTTACCACGGACTCTTAAGCTAAGGAAATAACTAATCTTTGGCGGCCATTTTCTCACTAATTTTACCTCTGAAAACAGGTGACCCCCACCTCCTTCTTTCGCAAATATCTCGACTTGTATTCAAGATAAATGGATATTCTTTCTATCCAAATAAAGACAAGTGAACAAGCTTTAAGATGATACCCATAACTCTACATGACCAAAAATTGACGAGAGCCTGATTCCACCATGCTGCCTCACATTTATCTCGGAGTTACGCTGGTTTAGTTGAGTATCTCTACCACTCACTTGTCTGTGGCACAGCTCATGAGCTGCGAGCACTGCTGGGTGGAGTTTTCTTGGGGAACGCCCATCTTGCTGACCTGTGGCAAAGAAAATATATAACTGTAAGTTAGTCCCTAACGTATCCCTTTCATGTGACATGTGAATAATCATTTAACAGTATGCTTCTTTCTAAAACAATGAAAGGGACTCATAAAAACAATCTATATCGATTCTTTTTCTTTCCATGGCTTAAGCACTTTGCTTTTTATATTTTCCATAAATGAAAGTGACTCATGAGATAATTTAAGTGGAAGTATCTTCTTCACATGCCAAAAAGTTTGCTTTGCATACTTCCGACAAAGAAAGTGACTTAAGAAACGAGATAACAGCTCACACCAGCATACTACACACAACAACTGATATCAGAAAGCAACAGGATTCCACTGTGAAAAACTACAAAAATGCTAATTTAAAAAAACATTTCATTCAACTCAGTGGGAGGTTGGCGGGTGCTCTGGTGTGGTTTGCTTCTTCTTTCCTATCAAATATCTATCGTTCTTATCTCCCCTTCTTCTTTTTAAAGTTTTTTACTCTCTTGTAACACCTCTAATCTTCTGCTGCTCATATGACCGTATGCCATTGCGAGCGCCGTAAAACCTCTACTAAAACTACAACTTATTCAACCCATGGCAAAAGCTAGCACCCCCCCCCCCCCCCCCGCAAAAAATAATAAACAACAAAAAAAGAAAAAAAAACCCCCAAAGGCAAGTGTTTCTACTGATCTGACCTGCATGTGTTCAGGCACCCACTGTATGTCTGTGACCGGGGCCTTGTGGCTGTTCTCTATGCTGGACACAGCGCAGTAGCGGACGATTGGCGTCTTCAGCGCGTTGGGGTCCTCAAAGCCCGGCTGTGGACACACACAGGGATGTATAGAAGTCAATGAAGAGATAGAATATGTATAGAGGTGAACTAACAAAATGTATAAAAGTCAATAAAGAGATTTTATATTTATAGAGGTGAACTAACAAAATGTATAGAAGTCAATAAGAGATATAATATATGGTCGCTTCTTAAGGACAAGCGGGCTAACCCAGATTTTGGGGGTTTCCAGAAATCTTGACCTACACCAAAAGTCGGCATAGACCTACCTAGAGGGGAAGTTTCATTTCATTGGTGAGTATATTTGTTTGGTTATATAGAAAACTTTCCTTGTTTTTTAAAGAAACTGAACAAGGTGCAAAAACTTTACCTTCAATTTTCTCAAAACAGCATTTTCGGGACAGCCCAGTTGTGCTTAAAAGCGACCATATGGAGGTGAACTAACAAAATGTATAGAAGTGAACAAAGAGATGTTTAAAACTGAACCAAAGAGGCGTGCAGAAGTGAGCTAACGAAGTGTATAGAAGTGAACAAAGAAATGTATAGAAATTACCTAAAAAGAGTATAGAAGTCAATAAAGAGATATAATATATAGAGGGGAACTAACAAAATGTATAGAAGTGAACAAAGAAATGTATAGAAGTGACCTAAAAAGAGTATAGAGATGAACAAAGAAATGTATAGAAGTGACCTAAAAAAGAGAATAGAGGTGAACAAAGAAATGCATAGAAGTGACCTAAAAAAGAGTATAGAAGTGAACAAAGAAATGTATAGAAGTGACCTAAAAAAGAGTATAGAGGTGAACAAAGAGATATAATAGATAGAAGAAAACTAACAAAGTTTATAGAACAAAAAAAAGAGATGTGTAGAAGTGAATTAATGAAATGTACAGAAGCAAACAAAGAGATGTATCAAAGTGAATCAAAGAGGTGTACAGAAATGAATTATAGACGTAATCAAAAGAGAACAAAGAGAGGTATAGAAGTGAACTTGCAAAGCGTATAGAAGTGAACAAAAAAATATGTAGAATTGAACTAACGAAATGTATAGAAGTGAACAAAGAAATACATAGAGGTGAACTAAGCATCAACAATACATGACAACTTAAATATGTGAGGCATCAGGGTAAAACCAGGCGCTCGTCAAAATGATGAAATCGGAGAAAAAGGCATATTTCCACAAGTTTGGCAATTTTTATCGAAATTTTGTTTTTTGGCTAAACACCTTTTATGTCTGTATGAAAATACATTTCCATGTGAGTTTTACTGAAAACCCTTGTTTAAAGGCACACAATATGTAATTTTCAGTTCTCAAGGACTCTTAAACTATTGAAGTTGCCAAACTTTGGCTGCCATTTTCTCATTAATTTAACCTCTGAAACCAGGCTACCCCACCTTCTTCAATCGCAAATATCCTGACCTCTATTCAAGCTAGATGGATAATGTTTTCATTCAAAGCAAGGCAAATGAATAAGCTTTCAGGCAATATCAATAGCTCCACATGCCCAAAAATTGACGAGCGCCTGATTCCACCACGTAGTGCCACATATAAATTGTAAAAATCAAGAGGCTACAGCGCATACTAGACTAGTAAAAAGGTTTTTCCACATTTTCTCGCCAGTAGTTGAATGCTCCATCTGCGGATACTGAGATGCACTACAACGTGCAAAATAGACTCGTTCAAGCTTACCAAAACGGTTCTCTTCTTGTTGCGGTTACTTCCCCTCTGCTGCTTGAGTCTGTCTGCGTGTGCTGAGATGTCCCACAGCACGATCTGGCCATTGTAGCAGCCGCCAGCGATGATGTTGGGGTCCGAGTGGTTGTAGGCGAAGCTCATGATGTCATCAGGGGCCTCTAGGATTAGCTGTGGGGGCATACGTCGGATTTTTGGTCAGAACATGATGTGCTGTTCATGTGTTGCTGCGTTCTGAATTGTGGTGTAAGATCCACCTTTTGACAAGTAGAGTGAACACATCTTTAGAATAGGATATGTAGAGTGAACACACTTTTAGAATAGGACATGTAGTGTGAACACACCTTTAGAATAGGACATGTAGAGTGAACGCACCTTTAGAATAGGACAAGTAGTGTGAACACACCTTTAGAATAGGACATGTAGAGTGAACGCACTTTTAGAATAGGACATGTAGAGTGAACACACCTTTAGAATAAGAGTGAACGCACTTTTAGAATAGGACATGTAGAGTGAACGCACCTTTAGAATAGGACATGTAGAGTGAACACACCTTAAGAATAGGACATGTAGAGTGAACACACCTTTAGAATAGGACATGTAGAGTGAACGCACCTTTAGAATAGTTATTGTGACGCAGGCTTAAAGGACATGATATCACGTGACTGACATCTCACGTGACTTCGGGCAAGCCGCGGGTAAACTAAGTAGCACCTCACTCACGGGGGCCGAAACAAGTTACATCGGCTAACCAAGAACTAATAATAATAATAAATAATAAATAGCATTTGTATGGCGCATATCCCCGCTCAACAACAGGCTCAATGAGCTTTACACTATATTATTACCCCAGCAGACCATAGAACACTTCCCGTGAAGCATACAGTGCAAGCAGCTGATTAAGCGCTCAAACACTAACAAACGGACAAGATCTTTCGCAGTCTAAAGCCGGGTACCCATTCCCACCTGAGTGAAATGAGGAAAATTTGAGTAAAGTGCCTTTCCCAAGGACACAACGTCGGGCCCCTGACGGGATTCGAACCTGTGACCTTATGGTTGCGAGTCCGAGAGCCTAATCACTAGGCCACCGACGCCACTAGCCAGAAGACCAGTAGGTGGGGCCCCACCAACATCAGCTACATCTAGATCTACTATCGCAAGACTCTAGACTCAACAAGTACGTCATAACATAACATGGATGGATAACAACAACAACAACAACATGCGCGGCTATTGTATTTGTAAAGGGCTCAGAACCTGCATTCTTTAACTCCTCATTTCCGGCAAGCCGCTCAGAACACGTCTGCTGGGACATTTCAGTGAACCACGCTCAGCATTTTTCAAGGATCCCCGAGCAAGTGTTCCTGCGTGCTGTCGGCATCGCTGACCGTTTATGATGCCACATCGCCAGAAGAGAGAGAGAGAGAGAGAGAGAGAGAGAGAGAGAGAGAGAGAGAGAGAGAGCGAGAGAGAGCCATCAGAACCGCTGCACTGGTGAGTCTCTACCACAGGCTCGGGCACACCCCTGTACAATGACTTCGACGTCAAATTACTTTATTCGTATATAAAGAGTTAATCCGGGTTGAGCGCTATATAACATTCTATGTATTATTAGACGTCAGAAAGTGCAAGTCATTAGTCTAACAGTCAAAAGTCAAAAATTGTAAGTCGTTAGTGAAACAGTCAAAAGTCACAAATTGTGAGTCGTTAAAGAAACAGTCAGAAGCCAGAAATTGTAAATCAGAAATCCTAGTTCATAAACAAAAAGTCATAAACTTCCATCAAATTCAGGTTTTCAGAGAGTCTGATATGAAGGAAATTAACACTTCTATTTGAAATCACATAGCAGACACGTAAGATGCCTGTGAAAAAAACAACAACAACAAAAAAGCATGACCTATATGTGAGGTGTGCTGACAAAATGAGTTACTTCTCACAATCCACAAATGTGAGGCAGCGTGGTGGAATCAGGCTCTCGTCAATTTTTGGGCATATTGAGTTATTGGTATCATCTTAAAGCTTGTTCATTTGTCTTGTTTTTAATGAAAAAATTACCCATCCATCTTCAATAGAAGTGGAGATATTTTGGATTGAAAGAGGTAGGGATCACCTGATTTAAGAGGTAAAATTATAGAGAAAATGGCCGCCAAAGCTTGGTAAATTCCAAAGCTAGAGAGTCCATGGAAACTGTAAATTTATATTATATTTTTTGTGCCTTTAATCAACGTTTTTGGTGAAGTCCTCAAAGGAATGTGTTTGTAAATGGACATAAAAGGTGTTGAGCCAAAAAACAATAAATTGATAAAAATTGCTAATCAGGGAAAATACTGCTGTTTTCTTCGATTTCCTTATTTTGACGAGAGCCTGATTCCACCACGCTGCCTCACAAATGGAGACATCGGCCAAAAATTGACACTACCCGTAAAAATCTGTAGATTTTCTATTGATGCCATATTCTTAAAGTACAACATGCCTTGTATTATTTTATACTTGTAAATTGTAAAAACTTCACCTATAAGTGTAAAGTATCTATTTCCACAGGGCTTAAATCCGAGAAGTAACTCATTTTGTCAGCACGCTTCACATATGACAAAGAAGGATATTAGAGCAGATACCTTTGGTACAGACAGGTTTTAAGTGCAGTTTACTCTTAATACAAACAAAAATGTGGTTCCAACTTGATCTCTATCTCTATAATGAGGAAGAAAAAAATCTGAGACGGTAAAAAAAATAAATGAGGCGGTCAACTGAAATTTCACATCTTCTTTTTCTTCTTCTTCTTCTGCTGCTGCTGCTGCTCCTCCTCCTCCTTCTTCTTTTTTTTCTTCTTCTTCTTCTTCTTCTTCTTCTTCTTCTTCTTTTTCTTCTTCTTCTTTTTTTTCTTCTTCTTTTTTTTCTTCTTCTTCTTGTTACACCTCTAATCTTCGGCACTTATATGACCTCATTGTGTTGCAAGTGCTGTAAAATACTTACTAACTTACGATAATCATTATAAGAAAGGAGAGGAACTGAACCCCCCTGGCAACTTTCTAACACTCTACCTGCGGGTGAATGGGATCGGCAAAACTCCAGATCAGGATGAGGGACGGAGTCATGATGACCTTGGCCGCCTGGTCGATGCGCTCGTCAAACGACAGTTTCTCCGCCACGGACGTTGCGACAACGCCCTTGATGGTCGGGTGCCACTGGATGCACGTGATGATCTTGTCCTTGCTGAACTGCAGGTCCGTGAAGGACTGGTACTCCTGCGCACAGACAGACAGACGAACTAAAAAACCCAGTCATAATATGTTTTATTCCTTGAAGGATTGTACTTTGAATAAACATAGCGTCGCCTCAGAACTATTTTGTCCAAAGTGTACTTAACACTTTCCCTACTGCGAGCCGCATTTTCAACAAAAATGGTAAATTTTCTGTTTCGATTGACTCTCAAGCTATGGAAATTATCAAACTTGGGTGGCCATTTCTCATTAATTTTACCTCTGAAACCAGGCGACCTTGACCTCCTTCAATAGCAAATATTTCAACTTATATTCAACATAGATGCATATTTTTTTCCCACAAAAGGAAGGCAAATAAACAAGCTTTAAGATGATACCAATAACCCCATATGCCCAAAAATTGATGAGCGCTTGATTCCACCACATCGAGACACAAATGCTTGGTGCTTGGTTCGGAGTTCGTTCCTCACCTTCAAGTGGTTATCTGCCTTGCTGCCAAAGAGGTCATCTCCGTCGCCCAGATGAATCCAGTCTATGTGGAAGACGTTCATGATCTCATTCTGCTGAAGAGCTTGGTGGAAACTGCGGAAATTTGGAGACATATCAAGTTGAAGGAAAGCTGTACAATAAACAGAAAAGGATCACCTTTAGTAATGTTTTTAGTTTAGTTTTAGTAGAGGTTTTACAGCACTCGCAACTGCATAAGGTCATATGAGCGCCAGAAGATTAGAGGAGTTACAAGTGAGTAACAAACATAAAAAAGAAGAAGGAGAGATAAGGACAATAGATGTTTGATAGGAAAGAAGAAGCAAACCTCATCAGAGCACCCGCCATTCACCCACCTTTAGTAAGGTCCTCTGTTCACCAACTTATGTTCTGTCATAGTCAGTTATCTGTGTCTAAATACAGTCAAACCTGCTCTTGGCGCTTATATGACCTTATGCAGTTGCGAGCGCCGTAAAACCTCTACTAAAACAAACAAAAAAACTGTTCTAATGGCCACCTGTATAAGACAATCACCTGTTCTAACGGCCACCTGTATAAGACAATCACCTGTACAAATGGTCACCTGTATAAGACAATCACCTGTAAAAACGGCCACCTGTATAAGACAATCACCTGTTCTAACGGCCACCTGTATAAGACAACCACCTGTACAAACGGCCACCAGTATAAGACAATCACCTGTTCTAATGGCCACCTGTATAAGACAATCACCTGTTCTAACGGCCACCTGTATAAGACAATCACCTGTTCTAATGGCCACCTGAATAAGACAATCACCTGTTCACTGACAATCACACTGACAAGCGCCCGATTCCAGTGCGTCGTGACACACATTTTTTCGTACGTATAATCATAAAGCGTCGTGACACACATTTTTCCGTACGTATAATCATATAGCGTCGTGACACACATTTTTCCGCACGTATAATCATAAAGCAACTCACTCCTGGGCCGCGTCGAGCACAAACTTCTTGCACTCGGCCGAGTTGACGAACTGTTCCTGCTCGTGCTCAGAGAACTCCCGAGGGTACGTCTGGGTGTTGGCGTTTCTCGGGTACTTCCACGTCGTCTGGGTCCCTTGGTCAACTTGGTCCAGTATGGCCTAGAGAAGTAACCAAGTCAATTAATGAGATGAATTTTAACACTATAGTCATTGCTGTTGTTGTTATCACACACCTTGTCACACCTTGTCCTCAATGTTGGGGTCACTACAGTCAGAACATGTCCATCTCTGCCCCCCCCCACCCCCCATCCCTCTTCAGGATCCATCCCCGAGTCTGTCTGCTTACAGTCTCCATCATAATTTGATTAGAGATCCATCTATCCAGCAACAGTTGGGCCCTTTCCCTTCTGTCCAATGCCATGCAGTGATAAGTGCAGGTTTGCTGCAGTTGCTGTAATGTTCCATAGAGTGTGTTGTCTATGTTAGGTCTCGGAGGGAGAAGGGTAGCTGTGATGTCATTTAGGGCTGTGCAGTGGAACAAGTGATGCTCCACAGTCTCATATGCATAGTCACACAAAGGACACATTGGGGGAAGTTCTGTTTTATTCTGTTCAAGTTAAAGTTAAGCTGTATACTCTACAGTCAAACCTGGTGAATGTGTATTTTTTACATTACAGTCAAACCTGGTGAATGTGTATTTTACATTACAGTCAAACTTGGTGAATGAGTATTTTACACGACAGTCAAACTTTTGAATGTGTATTTTACACTTCAGTCAAACCATTTCAAAAGGACAACCCATTGTCAAGGAGAAAAGTGGTCATCTTACATTTTCTGAACCAAAAAAAAATGGCTGGTTAAAAAAATGACCTTTCATTTGGAATAAATGTTCGAATCTGCTGGAGAAAATTGATACTTCTCTTTCTTTATGATTAGCTACTTTGGAGCCCAAAATCTGATCATCATTTTCAAAAGCCTTACGTTTTTTTCCTCGACAAACACTGACCTGAACACCCTTGTCCAACTCAATACGATTGAGGTCAAAGTTTTTATCATCAAAAGATGGACAGTCCATGGCCCCATCTTTCACGTCTGCAACATTCCGGTTGCCAAACTGTATCGGTGCTCCAAACTCTTGGCGCACTCGCTTCACCGACACTTTGGCCTGCATGCAAATATGAATTCATGTGAATAAAAACATAACAGAGAGATAAATGACAAATCACACCTGATTTCAAAACCACTTCAGGAACGATACTGGCATCCAACAATACTTTCTATGAAATTAATTAAAATGCAAAATTTTTTAACATTTCCATATCAGCAAAGGTCACTTTTTAACATGCAATTGTTTATAAAAATAGGCATGCATATGTTATATAGAGGTTGAAAGCAAAACGCAATTTAATTTTCTCTACTGTCCATTAAAAGCAACCCGATCTAGACAGAAATTGTCACAGAGGAACAGGGCAAAGACAGTGACAGATGAGTCATAGTGGAGGAAATTCGCGAGGTTACCACACTTTTACGTTCATTTTCTTCTCTTTTAGTCGACACTGACCAAGCTCGCTAAGGCCGTATATATAGAGTGCTGTACCACCAACAGGTGATATAGCTCCTCCCAGTGGCGTAGGTACTACAGCTTTTATCCAGACTTACTGACTCTGCTCGAATTCTGTCAACAAAAACTTGTCAAATCCAACAGTGAAGAAACCTCCCTTAAAAATGATAGTTTGTGTCTTGTAGGGCGTTAAGTCACATTACGGAAAGCTGAGAACTGTGAAGAGTGGGGAAAAGCTGGTTGTGAAATCTGCAGTAGTGCCCCAAAGGTTCACCGCCAGACAATGGGATGGGTGAAGGTAGAGAGCGTTAACTTCATACACGCACACAAAACGCCATGAATGCGGTACATTGCGGCTTCGTCGACCAATGCCAGGCTCACCTTTCTCCTCGTCTCCGTCACAGTCTGCTCACTGATCTCCTTCTCGCTGCCTTGAGACACCCAGTCCTTGGGTTCTGGCGGCACGTACAAGTACACCGTTGTGTCTTCTTCTTCCTCTCCCTCCTGGCCCTCCTCCCCTTCACCTTCCTCCTCTGATGTCTGCAGAGGAAAATGCAACAGGTAAAGTAACTTTCAGCCCCCCTTTGTCTTTCATTTTCCACGTTCTGTCATTTCCTTTCATTAATTTTACCTACAGTGAAAGATCAAAGAAGCCAGACCACATGTAATGCCACTAGCAACATATAATCATCTTAAAATTATGTAGACTGGAGGTCTTTCGGGTAAAGGGAAGATGTCAAGGTCAAGATTGTAATGAGCAGACACACTACGACCAATAATAGCGATGATGCTGTCTGCCGAAACATATTTCATTTCATCTTTTCTATCAAGGTTCTACCTTGAACATTCAATGGTGCCTTTCTCCGCACTCAGAACTCAAATTTCCCTAAAGCTGTATTTTCTCATTCTAAAAAAGCAATAGACTTAACAATCTTATACACAAAAGTGTTACCTAGAACAGCCATGACAAGGATTTGAGTATAATGCAAAAGATTATAAGATGAAAAATAAAGACATATGAATAAGATGAATAAGTCCCATTGATTCACTGACATAGTTTCTACATTAAGCGCCATCTACCCTTGCCAGGACCACAAAGACCACACAGACCACACAGACGACCACACACGACCTTCAGGAGAGCTTCCTTTGCCTCCTCCGTCAAAGCAATGATGAAATTCTGTCCGTGTTTGAAGTCTGCGTCGTACATGATGAGAACATCTTCTCCGGGGTAATCCTGCAAGTGAAAGAAAAATACAATACAACTATAATGTAATAATCTACTCCATTTTTGTAACTAAACATTCAGTAAAGCATCTTCACAGAGTGAAAATTACAATGTGTAAACTTCATGAATAGATTATCATTAAATCAAATTGCCATATTTTATTAACTAGCAAAGTAGAGCCAATGCAGAAAAGAAAGGCTAAAAAAAATATTTTTTTTAAATATTGAACACAAGTTTGCTCATAATTTTACTTTGACAAAACTGCATGTTATCTAGTTGTATACAGCTTTCTGGTGTTGAATTTTCTTTTTGGCAATATCAACACTGTGCTTTCGCTGACGCACTCAAAACAGATTGGAAAGACTGAACCAGTTTGTGACTTTTTACGTACGAGAATCTGCTGCTTGAAAGGGTGAAAATCACAGACAGCTGCCCTCAATTTCATATCTTCCAAAATGTCTGACTTTGGGATAAACTTGAAAGGGTTCTCCTCCGTCACATCTTCGTCACATTTACAGTGGTAAATTTCTTGTGAACTTGAAGTCATAAACAACGGGAAGACATTCTCAGGCAGGGCTGGAAAAAAAAGTGGGGGGGGGGGACAAGGTTACGAGTGAAAAGAGTCATCATTTCTAAAACTTTATTCAATTTTAACTCATTCAGTGCTACGGACGAGAATACTCGCGAAATCTGGGTCCCACCCACATACTAACGATGAGTATTCTCGCATTCTGCCTCGCTATCTTGATAGAAAGAATTTACTCTATCTAATCAATACAAAGTTATTTGAACTAACCGTGATGTATTTTATGGGAAAGGTCAAGGAGACATCATTTTTCTGCTTGAACAGCCATTGAGCCCGCTAGTTGTGATTTTTTCTCTTTCTTCTTCTCAAAAAAGCCGACAGATTGGCTGGTGAGGCCACCTTAGTTGACAATACGGTTCAACCAGATAGGGTCGAGATCCTGAAATGTCTTTCTCGCCAACTGATTGAGGAGGAAGATAGGGAGGCAGAGGCCAGTACTGCCGTGGAGAGGATGATGCTTTTGGGAATTTAAAAAAAAAGCGGAAAATCTGGCATCCTTGCAGGAAAGAACAGAAAAACGTTCAACCAGATGTGCACTGGCACAATCAGTAGAAGGACCCTCGCCAACATTTTGGAGAGAGCAACGGAGCATCAATGGACATGTCCGGAGTGCAGGGATGTTGCTTCTTGAAACAATAACAATAACAATAACAATCTTCTCGATCGCATCACACTTGAAGTCTGGTATCTGTCATAAATTTGGCCGTCCTGCTCAGTTCATCTGTCAGCCAGTAAAGCTTCTCTTGTAGTATCAGTGGGTAGTTTTGATTTATTTTCTTGAATATACATGCACACACACACACACACACACACACACACACACACACACACACACACACACACACACACGCACACACACACACACACACACACAAATGTGCACACACGCAGGCTTACAATCAATGATATATAAATATATAATATAATATAAATGAGCAGCAATATAAACAATAATAATCTTAAGCTACATACATACCCAAATTTATTCTGATGCATGCTCTGTCTTATGAATACTTATAACAAGATGGTTAAGGTGGAAGAATTTTGATGGATGATGGTAAAAATGAACTTTTGTATCTTTCTTTGTTACAGATCAAAAGCCTAGGTCTTTTATTTCTGACTGATGTTTTTATTTGAGGGAACAAGGGATGTTTGTTGTCTGAAAAGACGGAGTTAAAAATAGCCTACCGTTTGGATCTTCTTCAGGAGGTGCCTCTTCACTGCTCGAAGGTTCCACCGGGGCTGCCTCCGCTGGCTTCCCTTTGCCTGCAAAAACAAGACACACTCGTACCCCAAGCATATCTTCTATTTAACAGGATCTTTGCAAAATCTTTCAGTTGCTGATCAAAGTCTGTTTTGTACTTTATAGAATTAGGAATAGAAAACAAACATATATTCTCATAAAATTAAAAATGATACATGTTGAGGCTACTCAAGTTTCAAAAAGGTGGAACAGATTACATACAAGAATATAATGCAATTAAACATAGATTTCAGAGCAAAGGAGCAATGATTTAAATATATGTATTTGAGAATGAATGATACAATTAAAAAAGAATTTTTTTAAAAATTGTCCCACATTAAAGTTTTACTGACAGATGCATTTCGCAGCGATCCTCACATTGTTTCTTCTTTCCTATCAAACATGTATTGTCCTTATCTCCCCTTCTTCTTTTTTTGTGTTTGTTACTCTCTTGTAACACCTCTAATCTTCTGGCGCTCATATGACCTTATGCAGTTGCGAGCGCCGTAAAACCTCTACTAAAACTAAACAAACTAAACATTGTGAAGATTACATACAAACACTCTATTCTAATCAGAGTAACATAATAGAAAATCCCATGAATGTTCCAAAACGAAAAAAGAAAAAGTCTTTTCACAACAACTATGCTGGTTACTTACCCCCCTTTTTCCCTCCTTTTGGAGGTGGTTTCTTCTCAGCTTTCTTTTCAGCCGGCTTCTCCGCTTCTGGTTTTGCTTCAGCATCTGGCTCAGCCGCTACTTGAGCAGTGTCCTGTGTCGTGCACAATTTGAACACATGGTCATCAAACGGAACATTAAACTATTAAGTACAATATGTACAGTTTTTACTATACATGATTTGAAGATACATTTTTGACTGAGACAAGCTGTCAACTGTTGTTCAAGCATTTTATATTAGCTGAAGCTAGGAATATCAGCCTCTTATGAGAAGGCCTTGTGTCTAATATCTTCAAAATGAACAGATTCTTTTTAGAAGTTTGCATAAGCAACTGTTTCTAAGATTTAAATGAGCAGAACTAGACTCAGAATCAAAAATCCCCTTAAGCATCAGAGAAGAATAATTATGAATGGAATACTGCCAAATGGATAGTTGAAAGCAGCATTGCATTATCCATAATTCATCCTATTCAACCACTTTCTGCTCATTATAGTCATCAACAGGTCAAAATTCTATCATTGAACTAAAGTGCATTTAGCTTAAATACTGTGTCAGAACTTTTAAAAAATGAATACTCAGAATTTAATTCCTCTCAACACATTGAGAAAGCTGTGAAAAACGTGGAAGTGAGTGCTGAGACATGGCTTGACAGAGCATCTACCTCTTCCTTCTCCTCTTTCTGAGTGGCCTCCTTCACCTCCTGCTGAGCCTCAGCCTCAGGGGCTGCTGGTTCGGCTCCCGCGTCCGCCATCTTCTTTGTTGTCCTTGAGCTCACTCAACGACTCAAACGTTGCAGTTATCAGACTGAACTTTGTCCTAAGGAATGAGATAAAAGGAAAGGATTTAATTGAAAAGACACAATCACAATACTTTAGATGACAAAGTTCCACATTAGGATATTTCATTCTGACTAACATGGTAGGCTATATGGTCGCTTTAAGGAGAAGCGGGCTAAACCAGATTTCGGGGGTGTCCAGAAATCTTGACTTACACCAAAAGTGGGCATTGTCCTACCTATAGGAGAAGTTTGGTTTCATTGGTGTGTATACTTGTTTGGTTACAGAGAAAACTCTCCTTGTCTTTTAAAGAAACTGAACACGGGGCAAAACTTTACCTCCCCCTTGTTCTTAAAAGCGACCATATATAATATTTGCTGTGAAGGCTGAATTTTTAAATTACCCCCTAATATAATGGGGAAATGGTAAATATATAAGAGCTTGATTGTAATTGCCAAAACCATCTACACTTGCACTCAAGGTATAAACAAATATTCCTGTTCCAACATGTTTCAAATCTAAAAAGAAGGTAAATCAGAGACGCGTCCACTGTGCGTCAACACCTCCTCATTTTTTCAAGGATCTGCACAATGAACAACAAAGCGGGCGACTATTCCGGTCCATTTATTCCCAACTTCAGGTCAGTTTTGTTTCTTATGATGCGCTTGCAAAATATTAAACGGGTTAGAGATTCTGGGTCATTTAAATTTAGCTGATGAGGAAACAAATTTAAGACAACAAAAATTTTATTTTAAAGAGAGGCAAAGTGGTACATTTGCCCCAATAACAATAAGAACAGTATTATATATATATAGCTGTCGTGGGTGAAATGTATAATATATATATTCATCATTACAACCATTCAACAAGGAATAGATGAGTAGGACAAATTTGACTGCACATGTACCAGCCTTTCCTTATGACCACGACTGCTGCTATGATATGTGCCTTATTATATGCGCTACTGTGGCTTATATTAGAGGTCATCGTGTAGCGGGCAAACCACCGCAGTGTAGTCATATTTATCATTTAATTGTTCCATTTTAAATACAGTCAAACCTGTCTTAATAAGTATATATGGAAACCTGTATAAAACGGAAACCTGTCTTAACAGAATCTCCCCGCTCCTCCCCCCCCCCCCCCCCCTTGATATTCCTCTTTAATTACCTGTATAAAACGGAAACCTCTCCAATGAGGAAATCGAAAGAAAAAATCCACTCCCTTTCGAGGGATTCACCTGTCTAAGACGGAAAATGCTTAGCTCGCTCAGCCCTGATTTGAAGCAAAACTCGAAAGTTTGGTTCCGTCGGCTCTTAACTTAACACGCTATGGCCATGCCGCTGGGTGGGATTAAGGGTAGTAGGGGTGCAATTTGGGAGTAGATACCCCATCATGTTAGCCCTGAGCGATGCAGATGGTCAGTGTAATGTGGTTGTGAAATCTCGAAAGACTGCCCATGAGAGTGCTCGAGTAGCGAGCCACTATGGAAACTTTCCTGGGTAGCCAGAATTAAGCCAGAGGTGTGAAATAGATTGACCAATGCCTGCCGCCCAGATCGTATGGCCAGCTGAGAAAAGAGTTCCTCGAATCGTTGTGAGGGGTGGCATTGACGGGTGGGGCTAAGGTGGAAGCAAAAGAGATATGTTCAAACGTTTCTGTTTTTAATAGGTCAAGTTGGTCCTATGAAAGGCAAGCACATATAGGTGGTATTTGATAAGACTAACGCAAGTAATTATCAGACAGGATAGCAATTGAGAGGGGTGAAGTTTTGACTACTGCTTGCCGATCAGACAACCGATCATTGATTCAACCGGATGGGCCTTTATCAAACCCCCCTCCTAAACCTCAATCTCCCCCCAATTACCCCTATCTAAGACGGAAGATGTCTAAGACGGACTTTTTTTTCTGGCTCCATTGCGATCCGTCTTACACAGGTTCGACTAGATCTATAGGCCAAAGTCCAAGGAAACCAGCGAAGAATGGTTCACTCCTAAACAATCATGCAAACAAATCAAACAAGAAGAGATGTTGTTTTAGATAAAGTAAAGGAATTTTTTGCTGCACGAAGTTCCTAGGCTAGATCTATATGAACCTATATACGCTTCCCTGCACATAGCCTATTTTCCCATTCCCATTAATCCAAACTTTGGTCAGTACCTCAGTTGTTAACCTGACCCCAAAAAATACAGCTGCTCGTCGAGCCCGTTTTAGTCCATCATATAGACTAGACTCATAGAAAACTGTTGACCATAGCCAAGGCCCAATGCTATTATAGACTTTAGATCTAGAATCTAGATCTAGACTTAGAATCTAAATCTCTAGATTTAGAATAGATTCTAATCAAATCCTCTGCTGTTAACTGTTGCTAAATTGATGTAAACATAAAATGTCAAGCGAATCACTCATCGTAGTAGTGAAGGCCCTTCAGAAGGGGTCATATGATTCCAAAGCTTTGGAAGCTTTCACTTGACTTGTCCGTCATTAAGTACAGTGCTTAAACTTAAGCCTAATGAACTCGATCTGCATCCAAACCCAAGCTCAACTGACGAAGAAGGCTACACATCATGACTGACATGACCATATTATTATGATGATAAACAATTGTGGAATTGCGAGCCTGCACTGCGGATTATAAAAGTTGAGGTTCACTGTCTGGAAAAAAATCAACATGCAGCATACCATCGAGAAGAATTATACACGTACACAACTGCAGAAGTAATCCGTGATCCAGAAATACTTACCAAAAGATTACTCCAGTAGTGTCAGTTGTCGGTATTGCTATTCCGCCATCTTAACACAAAACGGAAGACAAACTATGGTTACCCTTAACAACGGACCAGTTTTGTTAATAATTGATTTGGTACTTTTACCGTCTGCGGTTTTGGTTTTAAAATATGTTGGCATTCTAATTATTGTAAGGAAGAATTATTAAAATGAATCATAAATTAAAAAATTAAAATTAAACCGATATTCACAAAATACTTTTAGAGTTATATATCAGAGAGTCCCCCCTAAGGCCAGTAGGGGATATAGCTCAGTGGTAGAGCATTCGACTGCAGATCGAGAGGTCCCTGGTTCGAACCCGGGTGTCCCCTCATTACTTTTTTTTTTCTTCCACACCTTTGGTGAACCATTAAATTGCAGCCTGATAATGATGTAATAACAAAAATTAACCCCTCCCCCGCCTCGAAACAAAAACTTATATGACATGTTACCATCGATGTACACAATAGTTTAAAAGGGGGTAACTCTGCATGTTACAGAAATTATAATTTACTATCCCTTCCACGGAAGCCTGTTTTTGTAACACAAAGTACCCAAGTAGAAATTATGTATCCGCACATTATGCACTTGCACTTTTGATCTGTGGTATTGGCTGCTTATTGTGCTTAAGAAATATTTTCTTGAAATTTGAAATCTAGAATCTAAATTCTAAATATTATTGGAAACATCAAGAACAGATACATAATGTAAGCAGACCGACAATATATATAGATCTATATTTTAATTGTTAAAAGGTAAAAGAATGAAAGTTGTTTTGTTTCTTTTTATCTTTCCTGAGAAATGTCACTTTCTGGGCTTATCACATTCGAACAGCGCGCCGACACAAATAATTATATATGTGCATGAAGAAATAAATAACTGTTTGAAAAATTATTTTTTTAAAATGATTGATTGACGATTTACTTTTAGTTGGTATTTTTCATCAACTTGTTTCTCTTTTGGCATCCCTTCGTCCACCAGTGTTCCCTTGAATTCTGATCGAAGTCTTCAATGATTAGGCTGCCAGGATCGATCGACAGGTTTCTCCGTCTCCACACCATACAAGGAAGTGTACATATGTGAGGCAGCGTGGTAGAATCAGGCTCTCGTCAATTTTTGGGCATACAGAGTTATTGGTATCATCTTAAAGCCTGTTCAGTTGTATTTATTTGGATGAAAAAAATATCCATTTATCTTGAATACTAGTTGAGATATTTGCGAATGAAGGATGTGTGGGTCACCTGCTTTCAGAGGTAAAGTTAGTGAGAAAACGGCCGACAAAGATTAGTTATTTCCTTAGCTTAAGAGTCCCTGGTAACTTAAAATTTACAATTTTTGTGCCTTTAATCTACGTTTTTCAGGAAAATTTCCACAGAAATGAGTTCTTTAATCTAGGCATGAAAGGTGTTGAGCCAAAAAAAAACACCACAAAAAAAATTGATGAAAATTCACAAACCTGAGGAAAAATGCGAGTTTCTTTACTTTGATTATTTTGACGAGAACCTGATTCCATCACGCTGCCTCACATAATATAAGGACTTACATGTACTATGATTAATTGAGAAATTGAAGCAATGTCCCAGTGATACCAATGTTTGGTACGTGATACGACAACTTTGAAATAATAGCTTATTATAGCAAGAGACATCGTCAGCGTTCTTAGTGTGCTGTGTTCTCTCTTCCATATATATATATATTTCTATGTTATACATGATGTATACAGTATAGGCCTAAAATGTTCTTGTGTAATTAGGAGGTTTTCTTTTCACTATTTAAGTGTGCGTGTAGAGGTCTCTTAATTGTTTGGCTTTGACTGGATCTTTTAGAGAAGTACAGCCAAAGATTCTTGATTAATAAATGCAGTAAAGAATCTTTGGTATATCTTACTGTTTGTATTATAATTTATTTAAATTATTATTTGTACAATGGAATGGCATCGCCGAAGAACGGGAGAGAACAGAACAGACAGGGGACATAATTACATTGAGATGTCTCGGTAGTTTGAAGTCTTAATTGTACTAGTTATCTACCTTGACGGCCATCTGGTGACTGCTGACACCTTGGAGTAACTATTACTCCAAGGCTGACACCATGGAGGTTTTTGTCCTTGGGTGAAGAAACCAAACAAGATGACTTGAACAAAATAAGGAGATTCAGATTTTTTTTTTGTCAGAGAATTATTCCATTCAAGCTCGCAAGGAGCTAATCCCTCTCAGTTCGACTGTTTGAGGTCTATCATTTTTGTTTGTGGCGGCAACAGCAACTTCTTTTTACGCCAAAAGTGGGCACTGCCCTACCTAGGAGAAATCTGGTTTCATTGGTGTGTATATGTTTAGTAATAGGGGAAACTCTCCTTGTCTTTTAGAGAAACTAAACAATATCCAAAAACTTTAACTTTGATTTTTCTCAAAACAGCGTTTTTCGGGATAGCTCCCTTGTGCTTAAAAGCGACCAAATATAATAATATATATGACCCCCTTGAAGTAAACACAGCCAACGGAGCACAGCACCCACTCATTAGCTGCTTGATAACTTGCCTCCCAAACCACCTCTGATCACTGGCTAAAAATATCTGCTGTCGCCAGATTTCAGCCTGATGACTTCAAGGCTGGAGAGAGGGAGGGAGGGAGGGAGAGAGAGAGAGAGAGAGAGAGAGAGAGAGAGAGAGAGAGAGAGAGAGAGAGAGAGAGAGAGAGAGAGAGAGAGAGAAAGAGTAATGGTCATCTACTGCTGGGAAAATCAAAGCAGGACTTAAAAGAAAACAACATGAGACCAATCAGTGGCACCCTTCCTTCACTGGCACTAAAAACAACATTGTTAGGTTGTAAAAGTGGTTTAACACTCACTCAGACTTACATCTGATACAGCCACAAAGTTTTTTTAGTAGAGGTTTTTCGGCGCTTGGAACTGCATAAGGTTATATGAGCGCCAGAAAATTAGAGGTGTCACAAGAGATTAACAAACATAAAAAAAGAAGAAGGGGAGATAAGGACAATAGATGTTTGGTAGGAAAGAAGAAGCAAACCACACCACAGCACCCGCCAACCACCCACTCCACAAAGATTGTACACAAAGAAAGTGACAATGATATTCCCCTCTATGTCATCCATATAATGTTTTATTGACATAATTAAATAAACATTAAACGAAAGAAATCTGGTATAAGTGTAAAAGGAATGAAATATACATAGAAATCAAATATTGCACAAAAATGTGACTAGCCTATACAGAGTAAGTTAAAGTCAACCACAAATATAGTTATGGTACAGAAAACAACAAAAACAGCTCTGGTTTTGACAGAATAAAAAATACAAACAGTGACAGTAGAATAATCTACGTGAACCCAATCAATCTGAGAGACAGGAATTGAGAATTGAAAATATTGACCTCAGCAGTAGAGAAATCAAAGTTACGTTTACATACAAACTGAAATAACCCAGGACAACCTTGAGTACGGTAAAAGATAAAAAGGGCAAAAATAAGCGAAGAATGTAAAACATCTGTTGCATCAACGGTAACCCAGTGAGACCTTCAGCTCTGAGTAATTGTGGTAGGTTGTGGAAAAGAAAAGCCCGCATAGTTATAATGCATGACGCTTTTTTAGTAAAAACAACAAAACAGATTTATATCACTGAATAACACAGCAAAGCTAGATATCTACATATTTAAGAAACAAAGAGCATTTCATAGTACATTGCATATAAGCACACACCGCACAGGGACATGGAAAGAAATTAGGCCTACTTTATTTCCTACTTATGACGGTTCTAGGGGGCTGGTGAGTATGTGTGTGTGCATGTGTGTGTGCGTGCACAAAACTATCATATCACATCATACAGTATCTCAAAAACTGAACTTTTCTGGAGAAGCAAATAACTCATATAGTCTCTAATATCTCATCCAACGAAATACTTGTAATACACTTTTTCGTCATAGCACTTCTTGGCTATGCATAGTTACAGGTTTACAATTTCGACAAAAGATGTCCTCTGCGATGTAATATCATCTCTCGGTCAAAAAAATTATTGCATTTTAAGTTAAGATAGCTTGGTCCCCTATCTCCAATTTATTGCACAAACAAGATGGAATGTCTACAGCACCACAGTTTTGAGTCTTCGGAAACAAGTTTGCTCCAAGCTATGAGACAGAAAACTACAAGTACAAGCAAAACTGAGTTTGAAAGTATACATTTGAAAGAAGTACAATGACTCAACAGGGAACATTCAATGTCAGAAAAATAAGACAAGCAATAGGAATCCCAGACAAATAGGAAGTAAGCAGGACCATCAGTGGCACCTTCCAATCACCATAGCAACCATGAGACATAAGCTGTTGAGATGTTATTAAAACAAAAGCGTGCTTTGTGATAATCCAGACATTTCACAAACATACAGAAAGAGTATTAAAAAAACATCGCACAATTATGAGTTGAAAACTTTTCACCATCGCTATTTATCATTAACATTTTGATTTGCAACATGTTTAAAATGATACACATCGAATCTAAACATCTCATTCTCATTAAACCAGTCTAATAAAATATTCACTGTCTTATTCAGCACGTAATTGAGATCTTACAAAGAAATGTGCACTTTCACAGATGACAATTTTGGTATACACCGACTGAAATATAAAAACAGCAGATACTCTCTCATACAGGCAGCTGTACTTAATAAAATTTCATGATTTCGGGGGGGGGTTGATAATCATTATAAACAACAAACACAACTGGCACGATCAGAAAGCCAAGCCAACACTTTCATGAATCCTGGAGAGGAGGGAGGAGCAGCTATGGCATAGAACCGCCTGAGATGTACCTATTCTCCAACAAAGTAACCAAGTAACCGTTATAAACAAACAAAAAGCATAGAAAAAGAGCAATTACAATATTATATATAATAATATATATAGAAATCAACCTCTACGGGTCTCAACCTCTAATACTATGAAGGTCAAGGCCGACATGTACATTAATACAACACTCACACGAGTGAGGTGAAGACACACTAGGGTGAGTAGCTTCCACATGTACACATACATCCGGAGTATGTTAAAACTTTGCCTCCTATCAGCAATTCACATCGTCCAGGGGGGCAAATAACCAGGGGTAGAACAAAAAATGAATTTATTCTCATTTAAAAAAACTTAAGTTGACTAGAACGCAAAATTCCTTTTCTGTTAAACTGCAAATTAAACAATTCACTAACGGTTGAAGAGAACATAACTACCCTTAAAAGGGAGAAATCACAAATTGTATCAAAACTGTAGGAGCTTTGGAACACGATTTCATATAAAAATCATTATATTATTAACAGAGCAAATACATGTACAATTCATATCACAAAAGCACACATGGTTTTCACAGGAGAGATATATATACAGTATAACGCAGATAGCTCCAATTCATCTGGACTGGCCTCTGTGTTTCGAGGGATATCTTACAAAGATAAAAAAGAAGAAAAAACAAATGGGACCGCAGGCACAGTTTGACGGATGCGTGATTTTGAGTCTTCTGTGTTCAACCTATCCGTATTATACTGTATATTATATTATACAAAAATTAAAGACAAAAGCAAAAAAACAGTTATTCTGTTTTAGTAAAAGTTTTACGGCACTTGCAGCATGATTAGATCATACGAGTACTGAAGATTACAGGTGTTACAAGAGAGTAACAAAACACAAAAAAGAAGGAGGGGATATAAATACCCCAGAAGTTTGATAGGAAAGAAGACTGAGCAAACCACACTAGAGCACCAGCCAACCACTCACCAGACAAAGTTAAAGTCAAATACAGCGTGAACCTGGATCAAACACATGCGCCGTATAGAAAGACTTCAATGGTGGCAAATGATGATAGTGGATGAAGCATGAAAAAAAGTGTGGAGCTTTTTTTTTTTATAGTAGAGGGTTTTATGGCGTCGCAACTGCATAAGGTCGTATGAGCGCCAAGGGGTGGGTGTCAACAGAGAAGTCTTTATAGGGAATCAGACTTAGACTGCTCACCTCTCTAGCTTCAACAGCACAAGGTCTGCTTCGACTATCAAGGCACCCCAAAATAGCAGGTCACAAGAGAGTGATAAACATACAAAAGAAGTAGACGAAAATGACAAAAGTAAGGATCAGGAAAGAAAAAGCAGCAGTTCCCTGCTGTAGATCAGGCACAGTTATGAGCGTGACATGAGTCAGCCCATTTACAATTCTACTATGCTTGAACGAGAAATGTCCCCCCCCCCTTTGGGAATGTCCTAAAGACACTACAGTCAGTGGCACTGCCCCAGGGGAATGGCCTAAAGACACTACAGTCAGTGGCACTGCCCAGTGTGGAGCTTCACAGAACTGCCTTTTACAGTAACAATGAGGAGGCTGACAAACTTCACTGTGTCTTAAAGTGAGTTACAAAGACCAGACTGAGACATTGAACTGTATTTCATAATAGCAAAAAGGACAATGAGAAGCTCTAAACTGAACTTTTAAAAGCAGAAAAAAAGTAATCAGGTGAGAATGGGTATCTGGCCATAGACAGCGGGAGATCTTGTCATCTTGTTAGTGTTTTAGCACCTATAAAATAGCTGCTTGCAGAGAATGCTTCTCTCCTCAGGAAATTGAGATTGTTTAAGAATGCTATCAGGTCTGCTGGGGTAATAGATTGTAAAGCACATGATAGAGTTTTCTGTTGAGAGGGAATTAGTGCTATAGACAAAAGCTCATTATTATATGTGCCAAAGATGAGAGGTGCAACTAACAGTTAACACCTTACAAATGAAGATAATACGGAAAAGAGATACTTGATAGGAAAGACAGGAGCAAACCACACCAGAGCACCCACCAACCACCCATACACAATTTCAACAGTCTTCTACAGTTACAACGAGGACACTGAGAAATCAAACTGTACTTTAAAGTTAGTAACAAGAGACTGAGACTCGGCCAAAAGAACGCATTAATAGTCTTGAGATGAAGACAAAATGGAGTACAAATGGTCCACAGCATGAGATGAGGGAATGCTTCACATATAACTTATTATAAGTTAAAGTAAAAAACATTCACAATGTTCTCCTTGAGCTGTGCTACTTTCGCTTATTATAATATAAAAATATGGTTTCTCTGTCAAAAGTTACGGTGAGTCATTGATCTGCGGAGAATGTAAACACACAGGAAAAATTCACACAACGAACACAGCATGAAGAGCTACATGATATAATACTACAACATTCAGTTTGGTTTAAAAACACACACAACGACACACAAATATTATTCAAGTCTACAAAATCATTCTTTCAACTGCTGCATAGAAAAGATGGGAGTCCCCTCAGACAATAAATGCTCTCAGAAAACCGCAGAAACTCTTGTGATCCAAAATAAGTCTTCGATACTACAAGTCGGAAGTCACAGTTTGCAGGAATGTGTGACCCGTGCTTGGCCTTTGTTGTGAACACATGATGAGTTGGTAAAGGAAGAACAACGAGAGTACATACAGAAAACATAACATACCACACATGATCTCCTCATGGCACACAGAAAGATACATATACACTCTGAATAAAACAAAAGAAAAAAAATCCCTTCAAGCACACACCCATCATAGAAGATTAACTTGCGCGGTTGCACATAAATTATAATGATAGTGATAGTCTGCAGTTTCGTCTTTTGATTGAAGCTGTAAGATAAATTACTGTAAGTTTTATCACGAATCATAGAGGAAATTAGGGAAGGAAAATCAAGATTACTCCCTCAATAGATAAAGAAATCCAGGTTTCAGTGGTTTATGAAATAAATGCAACAGAAGAGATGTGACGAAGGAGAAAGGGTAAAGACATAAAGATACCATCTTTACAAATAAATAAATTAAAATGCATTTTGAAAGACCACATTTTGTCAGCTGTCTCCAGCATTTATCTGCCTGACAACAACTGCAAGATCACTCTGTAAAGTCTTTCTCTCTCCTCACCGAAGATAAGACTTCAGAACAAATCTTTGTGTAGTCCGTCCAAAATACAAAAACAAAAATTGCACTTGTTTTTATCTTATTTATGAAAAGTACCAACTCTTTCTTATTGCACATACATATATGTATATTTCTCTTATCATCAACTAAACCAGTTTTTAAAAAATGAAGCCCCACATTATAATATGTGGCCCACTCAAAATACCCATAGGGTAATGAACTCCAGTAGTTTTGTCCACATGTTTCTAATAACTCTTCCTAAAGTCACCACTGGGAGGAATCTAACTTTATTACATCTCTTTCGACACAAAACACAGAGCTTTAACCAAGAAAGAGGAGAACAAGAAAAAGAAAAAAAACCCCCATGTTGTCAAGGGTAGAAAAAGACCCTACTGTTTCACAGTAAAATAAGATAATAGTTATTAAAAAAATCTCATCTGATCTTAAAAACTTTGCCCAAGGTATATATATATATGTAATGACCTGTGAGTTGGTGGTCATATCGTTGTGATCCTTCATGTTTTATATATTTGATAAAATAGGTGTAAACTACTGACCAGACAGTGATATTCATCACTACCATACTATGGGCATCACACTGTATTATAACAACAAAAGCTGAAAAAAAAAAATGCTGAAATATTTTTTTCACAATGTCAATTCGCAGACTTGCCAGAGAACAGATGACAGTTGCATTCACAACAGTCCGTAATACTGCCTTGGTCACTTCAAGAGTTCAGTATATAAGACGGGATCATAAAAATGACAATCTTAAAAACGTGGCAAAAAAGAAATAAAGATTTGAAGAAAGCTAGATCTAAACGCAATCGTAAAATCTGGCAGTGCATACAGATCAAACAATAGAGTAAAACTTTATATATATATATATATATACCTGCAACAAAAATTGAATTTAAAAAAAAATCCGTTATTTTCACAAATAAAACTCTTTCCCACCGAGATTTGTGGCAACTTCTATGTCACTGTGGGTCCCATTCTCTAATGTCGTAGCTGTCATGAGGTTTTCTGTGCGTGCAGACCTTTTCTTTCGTGATTTTTTTCCCGATACAGATCCAGTGTACATGCCTGAGGCCGCTGCGTCTTTCGTTCTCTGGTAGCAAGACAGGAGACCATCGGTGTCTCCTTCGTCCAGAATCAAGTTGTCCTCCGCATCTTCCATAGTTCTTAGCAAATCACTCAAATCATCCTTGAAATTTAGCAGACGTCGTATTTTTGAATGACTATGCTGAAGAGCAAATATTTGTTGATTTTTTCTCTCCAACTCTTCCTGAAGTACAGAAACAGTCCGCTCAGAGGCTAATAATTTTTTTGATAATCCTTCAATTTCCTTATCTTTTGCAGTAGAAATTTCGGTAACACGTTTCTGAAGAAATTTGTCTTTTGCTGCAAGAGCTTCATGTTGGGTATGGACTGTGACTTCCAACTCGTGTAGGCGTTTGTGCAGTTGTTGAAGATGACGGTTTGCCTCATCAATGCTTGTCCGCGGGATCATTTTGTCCAGAGGGGTGAAAGCACAAACAATGCCCTGAGGGTAGAACATTATAATATTTGTGTTTTAGTTAGAATTTTAAGGCACTTACAACACAGAGAGGCTACATTAACTATATATATATAAGGGTTGAAGATTAGAGGTGTTACAAGAGTAATACAAAAAAGTAGGACTGAGAGATTTAAGAACAATGGATGTTCCATGAAAGAAGGAGCAAACCACACCAGAGCACCCACAAACCACATGAATTATTCGCTAATGAAAAACGAATGATATTTACAACTTAATTTCATATGTTGCAACATCTTAAAATTTCTTTCACTTCACACCATACTTTCCTTTATATCTAACTAAACTTCAAGCTAGACAAATTGAAAAAACTAGATTCTACACAGGAGGACTTCCGTAACGAGCGACCACTATGACTATAGACAGAGAGTAGAATAGAGGTAGGGGTAGGGGTAGGGGTAGGGGTAGGGTCAGGGTTAGAAGGCCTCTTCTTTATTGTGTTTGCTGGGGAAGTAGCACATTACGGAAGTCCTTCCTTCTATACTGTGACCCACTCGCAGAGTAGACCACACATGCAAGTGATGATCTTGTGACTCGTATATTAAAAAACTATACTATCGTCAGGCATCTCTGGTAACTGAATGACACCTACCTGCCTAAAAAAAACAAGCTATTATAATGAAAGCTAGGCCATGATGATTATAAATTGATATAAATACTTGTACTGTAAGTAAGTTACTAACTCAAATCCAGTCTGAAGAAAAACAAAGTGAGGTATATCAAAATGAGATCCAAATTTAACTATAATCTCACTACGACAATGAACAAAACACCAGGCTCACAACATCAAATCAAGCAGTAGAAGAGAACAGTTTTAATACTGGGGAAGTGTGTTCACCCACGATAGAAAGATGAATGGAGAAATAAAATAAAAATAAAATGAGAATGAAAAAAGGCCAGTGCCATGACAAGAAGTAGAGACAAGGTGAGAAACAAGATTATCACAGAGAATGAGCTGGGCTGGCTCAGCTCACTGCTTGGAGTATAGAGACAAAGATAGAAAAAAAGAAAAAAAGTGATTTGGACATCTGTCAAAGTCAAGACTTCCAGAGAGTAGTTTAGTTTTATGTAGAATTACTATAGAGACTAGAGAAACCAGCGCCAGCAGAGACACAAAGGAAGAAGCACAAACAAGAGAAAGACGCTGCTCCCCTTGGCATTGTGGTTAATGGAGCTCAGGAAAAAAAAGTAAATAAAAGTGGATAAAATCCGGTTTTGGCCCCGACAGTAACTAATTTAGATCTAGATTTAGATTCTAGATCTATGGAATGTGGGTTTGGCTCCACCGACGATTACTTCTCTTGTTTTAAACGATAACTTTTTGACGTGCATGTCGAAGTGGAGATCATGGTTAAATTCAGGGGGGCATGCCCCCCTGAAACCCCCTATGTTTTTGTTAGGTCCTCCTTGACCTTGTTAAAAACGAGTGAAATATACAGATTTTATTATAGTTATAGGCCTATCTATTGTACTGAAAAATAACAGCGCATCTCTCGCTCTTGACCTTGTCATTGTTTGGATAAAACATTGATTACGAATTTCTTTAGAATTAGAAGAGTAAAGAGTAAGTCAGTATCGATAGGCCTATCCAGTACTCTTGGGGCCGAAACCAGAGAAAGCCGATTCTAGATCTAGATCTAGATCTCTAGATTAAGATCTTTCCTAAGATGAATGATTGACAGAATGAAGTGCAGCTAAATTTAATCATTCATTTAAATACGGACGTTCATTATAATTATAATTCGTTTATAAATCATTAGACTTCAGTTATAGCGATCTAATAGATCATAGCACACTTTATAAGCGCTGGAGGTACCCTCTGTAGGCTAATTTCAAAACGTACACTTTGAGGTAGAAAATAGGATGGTCTTTAGTTGTGGAAACGATTGGAAGACCTGATGCTGGAAACGACAAGAAAGTGAGTCACCGACAAAACAACTGGGTCTTGTGTGTTGTTTTTTTAGTTGCGTTCCGTTTCTCAGAGTTATCTTATCCGGAAGTGTAAACTCTGCATTAAATTGGAGTGCCAGATCCAGTGCCAGATAGGGCTAGTTCTAGTCGTGCCAAGGTTACTGAAATATTTTCCATTTCATGCGTAATTTTTGACAACTTAATCAAAAAAATACATGATAGAGATTTGCTTTATTTTAGGAAGATTTTATAGATTACAATGGCCTTTACAGGTGTAAGTTTAAATCTAACAAAGTTGTTCCAAATTTAGGCTATAAAACCCAACGTCTTCCTGTCAAAAATAGATTGGACTGGACATTATAAGGGAAAATGAAGTAGTTCGAGTGAAAGGTTGCAGAGAAATGACGGACTAACTTCGCGATATTATATCAAGGTAAGTTATTTCCTTTTGTCATAATAATAGTAAGGATGCTTCTGGACAGGACTTCGGTGAAATTTTGCTTTCATGATCGTGTATCATTTGGCTTACCAAACAGTAACAGAGTTGGAAGGTATGAAGTATGACAATACATACACTGTCTACTATACACACATCACAATCACACTGATTACTGGTGATTCAAACATCGGCAGACTGTCAACAGTCACCAGTCAGTCTCACTACTAGATTTAGATCTAGAATATTTTAATGTCTGAATCAAAGTAGCGGTATCTTCCAAGGTGCGGAGTGTTATATCTGTGAAAGCTTGTATTAACATTTCATGGGTTTTATGGTGGGAAAAAAAGCAACAACACATTGACGGGGCTAAAAATTCGGGAAGACTTCCGTAGTCTAGATTTTAGTTGACTAACGGGAGCGACCACTGACTATGAGACGGAGTAGAGAGGGGTAGGGTTAAGGCTAGGGGAAGGGTTAGGGTTGGATCTATGTTCTTTATTGTGTTTGTTGGGAGTTCGCTCGTAATGGAAGTCGTTTAGAAAATCGAAGTGATTATTCGGACTCGAGTCCGAATATGAAAAAATGTTATTCAGACTCTGATTCTTGTCCAGCATGACATCACTTCCGACTTCCTGTGACTCATGAATCCGGCTTCCTGTCCTGCCTCACTCGTGACTCGCCTCAGGCTGGGTAGAGACCGGGATCACTTCGGGCAAAGAGGCGTTTTGTGCAGGAGCCGAGTTTTAATCTTATGATGAATTTGAGGCCGGCCTGAAAAGTTATAGCTCTTCTAATAAATGTTTATTTGTCAAGGGGTCATCAGAAGCAATTAAAGATGGCTCGTTAGCGTGTGTCGGGGTCGGATGGGCGGCCTGCACACGTGTGGCTGTGTGCGTGTCGGGGAGGGTGGTTGGGGGGGGGGGGGCACTATCGGTCCGGGCTTTGAACGTCGCATACGCGTCAGTCTTTTTCCCCCCGGCAACTGATCATTATTACAATAATAAGCTAGTCTTGACGTAGATCTACGTAATGAATTGTGTGCTGGTCTATGGAATCAAAAGTTGCCGTATGCTCAGCTCTACACAGCAACACAACTTTTTCTTGGTAAACAATCGAATGACACAGGCTTGTGTATTTGAATGAATCGGTCTTTTTTTTTTTACACAGCTCATAATATGCAGGTGCCAGGTGGTCTGCTAATCTTCAATTGGAACTAAAAAATTACGGAAAATTGGAAGCACTGAACGTTAGATCGGCGTATCAATGAGGCGGCGGGCATTGGATCGGCAGATAAGGCAAGGTGTGGGGGGAACTAAAAAATAACGGAAAATTGGAAGAATTTTTTTTATTCGGACTCGAGTCCGAATATGAAAAAATGTTATTCTGACTGGAGTCCGAATAACGACGGCCCCGAAAAAATTAAGTATGGTTATTTTAATATGGCCATCTCTATTTCTCACCCCGGGTGAGAATAGCGCAGGCGAGTCTTTTGGCTATTCTCACCCGGTGGTGGGCGTTCACCGTTTTATAGCCTAGGCCAACCAGTGAAGCGTTCACCCTGAACCACAGAATTCTACACTTTGATAACAGAATTGTAGAATTCTGTGCTGTGAACAAACATTCTAGATCTAAATCTAGATCTATTATTACTCAGTCTACTGTTAGTGTTAGAAAGCCTAAAAGTAAAAGCGTGCAGTTTTGTCTGTGGGCAGTGGAGAGAGAGAAAGAGAGAGAGATAGAAGAGGAGTAGCGCGAGAACTTCCGGGCAAAACAAAATGGCGACCCGCATAGTTCGGCTCGATTCGGAAAGTTAAATAGCCGTAGCATCTTTGTAGACGACCAAACTAATTTAGTTTTGTTTTTTAACATAATTTTTAAACTTTGTTTTGGTCATTTTGATTGTCAACACCGATAGACAGTATTCAGTAAGAGGGAGAGAGAGATTGGAGTGGTAGATCTTGCGAGAACTTCCGGGCAAAACAAAATGGCGACCCGCGTAGTTCGGCTAGATTCGAAAAGTGAAATAGCCTATAGCATCTTTGAAGATGATCAAATTAGCTTACTTTTGTATATATAACGTAATTTTTTCTTGGCTTTTATCAATTTGATCACCCACACCGATAGACAGTATTCCGAAATGAGGAAAAACAGGTGTTGTTTCACACCGGGTGAGAATAGCCTACGCTGGCAAGTCTCACCCGGGGTGAGAGGTAGATCGTATATTTTAATTTTTATTCTCACCCCGGGTGAGGATAGCCACTTCCTGTTTTAATAAATAATATAAAGCATGGCTCACGGTTGATATAACTTGCCTAGATTTTCTAGATCTAGATCTAGAGATCTATATATCTAGATCTGGTTCTAGAATCTAGACTCTATCCTATATTATATTTTTGTTTTTTTTCTTGGTGGTGTTGTTGACATTGTGTTTTGACCATAGCTGATGAGCACAGTTATACAGTGGAACCCTGTGTAAGGTGTACATAATTGCAAGGGTGCATCATGAGAAAAATTATAATGTTTTAGACAGGGGCGTTTAGGGGGATATATATGGAGGGGGGGTTTCAGTCAGAGGCCCAGCCGATGGGATCAAGGGTACACTTGTCCGGCCGGCAAGCAGTGAACAAAGCTTTACACCACTCAAGTGCTGTCCTCTCTGATGTGGCATGGGGGTCAGCCCAACTTTATTATAATACACATGACATGACATAATATATATATATATATCATTATACACCAGTGCTTGCATTTCATAGGACCACTGTTTGACCTCGACAGAAAAGTTTGAAGATGAGTTCCTTTGCTTCCACCCATTAACCCCACCTATAAATCAGTGTTATAGTACAGTTAGCCAAAGCCACCCCCTTCCGTGCATGTAAAAATGATTCGAGGATCTCTTTTTCATGGCTGGCCGTCTGGTCAAGGGGGCAGGCATTGGTCAATTTAATTTCAAAGTTTGCCTTTCCTTTAAAAATAACAAAATCAGAATCTCTGCCATGAATATTTTCATCTTTCAATTAGTAAAACTATTTTAAATAGCGAAGCAGCTATTTGGGACATAAATTACAATGCTTGTATTTTGAGGAAAAAAGTAAGGACTTTCTGTAATTGCTTTATACATAATATTGTTTGACTATCCCCTGTGTACCTGCTTTCAATCATATATTTTTAATGTAATAATTTTAATCAGTTGAACTAGTGGAAGGACTTCCGTAACAAGGGATCACCCAAACGCAGTAACTGCGGATGACCTTTATCATCACAGTTGATTTAGTCGCCAAGATCTCATTAAATAGGTTCTTGCAGGGTCAGGGTGTCCAAGGTTCTCATGTGTGTATACATACATATGATATTATTTTGAGTCTGATTGATTGTTGTGATAAAATTAAAATGTACAGTTTTCTCTCTCTCTCTCTCTCTCTCTCTCTGTCTGTCTCTGTCTCTGTCTCTCTCTCTCTCTCTCTATTTCTCTTTTTTTCTCTCTGTTTCTGTGTGTGTGTGTCTCCCTCCTTTCCTCCCCTCTCTCCCCCCCTCAATCTCTCTCTTTCTTTCTCTCTCTTTCTCTCTCTCTCCCTCTCTCGCCGTGATAGTGAGTATTCATAGAGGTGGTCTTAACTCCTCTTTGATCTGTCCCATTCATCTTCTCCATTTTATCATGTGTAGTTTATATTCTGTTCTTCTTGGAAACTGCCTCCCCCTTTCCTTGTCATGTTACTTTTCTTTTCTTCTCTGACCCTAGGGATCCCATCTTACGTTGTGTTTGTATTCCATACGTGCTTGTCATCGAGCATCCAGTCCATCGAATCGCCATCCTTTGTGGTCTAGATCCCAACAGGTCTGCGTATTCCTCCTACCAATTTTTTCTGGTGTTTACTTTACCAATTTGGTACCTGTTCTACTGCCATACAGATAAAGGTGTCTAAATTACGAGATTTACAATGGATGCTGAGATTCTTATGTAATAATAAAAGTAGAAAAAAATAACCGGCCCTCTGTCTCTGTTGTGGTCGTGTGTCCCCACTGGCCGATGGGTATTTTAGTTGATTCAATCTTTTTTCTGTCGCTGTTAAGGTGGCTCTTAATTTTAACGAATGTTCAGTTTTGGCAGCCCTTCCTGAAACATGTTGAGAGGAACATTTTCAGAACCCATTCCATGTAGTAATAGAATGAGAGTCAGGCTTGTGGACCAGTAGTTCAGTATATATATATATGCAACCGTTGGCTCAGTTTAGAGAAAATTTGTGGGTGGTTGTGGGTGGTTGGCGGGCGCTCTGGTGTGGTTTGCTCCTTCTAACCTATCAAGCATCTATCGTCCTCATCTCCCCTTCTTCTTTTTTATGTTTGTTACTCTCTTGTAACACCTCTAATCTTCTGGCGCTCCTATGACCTTTTGCTGTTGCGAGCGCCGTAAAACCTCTACTAAAACTAAAAACTGAGAGATAATTTAGGAAGCGGAATATAATGCTATGTTTTTTTTAATTGGATCCTGCTTGTAAGGCCAACTGAACGTATGTTCTGCGGGTGTAGCTGAACTCTCATCTCTTGAAGGGAGAGTGAAGATAGAGCATGTTACAGAGTTACCTTACACGGTCATCAAGTGGTGCTGGTACCATCGACAGGGGGGGTGGGTGGTTGGCTGGTGCTCTGGTGTGGTTTGCTC